GGAGGAGACAGGAACTATGGAAACTATGCATCCAGCAGATATTTTACTTATGAAGCTATAGTCACTAGTCAAATCCCTTAATAATGGTTTTGGTCATTAGCAGTAGAAAAGATGTTGAGGTTTTTATCTTTTTTTTTTTTTATTTTAATATTTTTCCTTTATCTATCATACATTTACAAATCTTACTCAGCAGCATTTAATATCTGGGTATCAAAGTGTGTAAATGTTTTAACTTAACTCTTGTGCAGCCTATATTCAACAATGTCATTTCAGCACCACCAAAATCATCCTCAGTAATAAATATTCACACATTTCCCTGCATGAAGCTAACAGTAAACTGAATGTTCATTACTGTGGTGGATCCCAGGATGATAAATGACTGTTTACTGATCAGTCTCTTATGTGTTTGCCGTATATAGATTTGCTTTATTTAAACAGTAAATGTTAAGTTCCTGCAGCCTGACATTTGCCTTTATATTCAAAGAGTCACACTGTTATAAGGCAGGCACATGTTCTTATTATACATTAAACTGATCTGAGGATGAAACCACATTGCTGTGTTTGTTTTTACAATGATGACAGTTTGATCACGAAAAACGTCCTGGGTTAAAAAAGTTGGAGCATCTAACCTGGATTTTGAGGTTTGTAAATATTCAAATTTCTGTGAATCACTGTGATATCAAAAGAGAGCAGCTTCAAGCCCAGCAGGATGGGAGATATCAGAGAGGAACTCTGGGTTTGATCAAGAAAAGCTCCCAGGGAGCTCTGTCCCTTTTTGATGTCAGTGAGAGCGAATATCCCTAATATGGCCATCTCACGCACACAGCTCTAGCTGTGAGAACGTAAACTGTTCCCACATGCTGTTTAAATCTTTTGTTTGTGAGGGAGCTAAAACAGCCTGTTTTAGACAATGGTTGAATTAGCATGACCCAGTGTGAAATGAATGAGGATTATTTTGAAATATGAGTCATGCATTGCTAATCTAGTAGCGAGTCCATGGATTCTATAGGGTTGGAAATGAGCATTATAGGTCACCTTTAAATTAAAAAGACAGACATACCTCTTGGTAGGTGTATCGTCCATCTACCAGGGTTGAGCCTGAGAGGCCGCTGTTACCAGCAGCTGTCACTGCAAGTCGATGGCAGCATACAAGGGATCCTGTGATTAGTTTGACAATCTCAAAATTCTTCTTCAAGTCTTGGATGATGCTCTGTTGGGAGACAGAGGGAATGTTAACTTAAACACAACGTAGAGCAGATTATTCAGGTGTGCATTTATATATGTTTTTATGTGTCACCTTGTCTTGTTTCTGGTATGTCTGCTTGATGAATGAACGGGTTATCTCATGCAGCTGACGGAGAGCAGGAACAACCCAGACCGCCTGTGGACTGCTCTGCTGTGAAGCCTGTTGAGATAAACAGATACACATGCGTGCATATCAGATGATGATATTTACTAAATCACAAAGCAAACACAGACGCTTGTTACAAAAATAGAGGTCAGCGATGATCTTTATGAATCACTTTTAATTTTATGTAACTGTTTTGTCATCGTAGACTTACTATTTTTGTAATTAAGGGCGTTGTTAAAACAAGAAGGGAAAAAGGAAAATCAGAGCCAGAGATTTAAACCACGGAAGATCAAATCTGACACTTTTAACCCTCATCCTAGTGTTTCAGGTTTGCTTTTTGTTTTTTTAAATTATGTTGCTAATGATTTAAAAATCTCTGTTTCCTGTCTCCACAAATGTTGTGGAGTCACGAGGGATTTCAGTCAAAAGTACCCATTTG